CTGCTGGCATCTGCTAGTGCCTGTCGGTGTGTTCTTCTGCTTTTCTTGATGTCTAGCTGCTTTTGTCCCTTCCCACTAGTGTCTTGGGGTATTTTATGGGCACAGGATGGCGGTGTAGCAGGCCAGGGTGGTCTTGGAAAATGCAACATTTAGGTGCAAAACAGGAGTACCTGTCCTCACCTAGGTCCGTGGGCACAGGACTAATGGTGGAGCCCTCACCAGGGACCCTGCCCTTTTCCTCCCAGCATTTCCCTTCCTCCCCTCCCATGTCACTAACTTGTTTTAAGAAACCAGCATTACCCTGATATCAAAGCCAGAGACAGATGTCACAAGAAAAGCAAACTATAGACCAGTATTCTTTATGAATATGGATGAAAATATCCTTAACAAAATACTAGCAAGCCGGATACAGCATATTAAAAGGATTATGTATCATAACTGAGATGTAGCCCAGGAATACAAAGGTAGTTCAACATATAAAAATCAATCAATGTAATACACATTAATAGAATGCTGGAATAACCACATGATCATCTTAGTTTACACAGACAAAGGATTTGACAAAATTCAACATTCTTTCATGATCTGTCCAACTTTATAGGAAATTGTTTGTTGACTCTGCCAAAGTAGGTAAGCAAGGACAAGGAAAAGTTTTGGAAGAGCACACGTGAAAAGTTGTTATAGGACAGAACAGAAGTGGCACATAGAGTGTCCACTGGCTTCCCACCTGACCACATATAATTACAAGGAGGATTGGAGTCCGGATGTGTACCTGGGAAGAAGGAAGGAGTACGTTTTAGTGGATAAACTGGCAGCATCTGCCACAGCAGCATTCTTCATAATATCCCCAAACCAGAAATATTCCAAATGTCCCTCAACAGCAGAATGGATGGAAAGTCATAAATGCATACAGTGGAATAGTACTTAGCAAAGAAAACAAAGAAACTGCAGTGCATAAAAATTATCAGCATAGGTAAATTTTGCAGACAATTGAAAGACTCAAAAATAATATATATAATATGTTTCTATTTTATAAAGTTCAAAAGCAACAAAACTAAATGACATGTCTAACCAAATACATAAATGGTAGAACTATAAAGAATAGAAAAGAAATAATTATTAGAATAGTTGAGTCCCCTGGAGGTGAGAAGGAGTTGTGACTGGGGATGGATACTGGTGATGTATCTGGGCGGCAGTGCTGCCAGGGCTTGCTTTCTTGATCTGAGAATGGGTTACACTGGTGTTTTCTTTATAATTTATTCTTTAAACTAACCTGAATAGATAATATGGTGCAGCTCTTTTAAAAATCTAAAATGAAACAAAGGGCCCAGAAACAGAATTTTCTTAAACACTGAGCTCTAAGAAAAAAAATTACCATGAAATATACCCAGCTATATCTAAGTAGGACATAATCCATTATATGCACTTCCGTCTGTGCATGTGAAAATATATGTGCAGGTTTTTTTAGGTAAATGCATCCATATATATTATATGTATGTAAACATATACATTTATATATGAAACTGATTAGCCCAATAATATTCTTATCAGCATTTGTTGTTATTGTGTGTGTGTGTGTGTGTGTGTGTGTGTTTAAATATACAGGAATATAGAGTTCCATGAATATACGTAACTAATTATTGGGATGCTTAATATTAAATAAAATTTATAAAGGAAAATAAAATTAAAAGCTGATATATAGCTTTCTGGAAATACAATAAGGAATAGAGATAATTAAGAAAAAAGAAGAGTTAAACTTGGTCTTTGCTTTACAGCATTCTTATCCTTTTTGGGGTCTCATAACCTTTCAGAATTAGGTGAAAGATATGGTTTCTTTCTTTAGAGAAATAAATGAGAACACGTATATACATTGCTGTGCCTACAATTATGACGTATTTGCATGTATACATTCTTGAATTATAAACATCCCTGAACCATCTGTTAAAATTCCTTCTTTAAATTGTCCCCAGTATTCTGTGATAGTGACTGAAAATATATTTATATTCTGTCACTACCAGGCATTTCTTCTTCCCTTTCACCTCATTCACAAATCCCTTTCAATTCTTTCTACTCCTATTTGTCCATCTTAATTTCCTCTTACATCACCTAGGATTCTACCCAGACAATTGTATTAGTAGTGAACTGCTTTGCCTGCCTTTATTCTATCTATTCCACTGTATTCTAAATTCTGCCACAAAATTAATCTCTCCAAAGACCAGTTTGGTTTTTTTTTTTTTTTTTTTTTGGTCATTGTTGTTACAGTTTTATTTTTGAGTCCATCTAAAATAATGCTTACAAGTTTGCCATACAGAGCCAAACAGATCTTGATTGCATTCAAAACCCAGCTTTGCTCTTACTAGCTGGGTGATAATGGATATGTTGCTTGACCTTTTTACAATTTCCACTTCCTTATCTATAAAATAAGGACAATAATATAATTTAAAGACTGTTGTAAGGATTAATGAGATAATATATTTAAAGTGATTAGCAGGGTATAAGGACATAGTAATGTTCAGTAACTATTTCCTGACTAAATGAAATAATTAGACTTGAGGTTTTCTATTTAATGCTTTTGCTAACGTAAGTCTCTGTCTCCCATTTCATGCTCATCATTCTTTCGTATCAAAGAATCCTACATCCTACATCAAATGTTCCCTAAATGCTATAGCCAAATGTGATCTCTCCCACTTCTTAATTCCTCAGACTTTTCATAGTACATATTACGGCAGCGTAACATAATGGCCAAAGCTCTCGGGTCGTCTTGGACATAGATACTAGCTCCATCACTTATTAGCTCGGTGACCTTGGGCAGGTCACATAGGCTCTTTATGGCTTATTTTCCTTATCTGCAAATTTGTTATAAAAATATTATCACAAAGAGTTTTTATGAAAATAAAACATGATTTCTAAAAAAGGTGAAACAATAGAGCTACAGAGGGCACTAGGACCAGACCAAGGCAGGGGGCAGGTATTACCTACAGATGAGCAAGAGGGAAACTTCTAGAGCAAGGAGATATTCTAAAACTGGATTTTAAAAAGAAATATGTAATATCATGGAACTTAGTTTAAAAAACTGGCTTGTAGCCATGCTTTCATAGCTATATAAAGTTACTATTTATCAAACGCTACAGTTAAAATGAGTAAATCTTATGATACTGAAATGATACCTCAATAAAACTTATTCACACTAAGCATATTATATGTATTAGTAGTTATGATCTTATACTGCCTTGTGTTATCTGTGGTTTTGGTTTTGTTTTCTTCTTGAGACAGAGTCTTGCTCCGTTGCCCAGGCTGGAGTGCAGTAGCATAACCGTAGCTCACTGCAGCCTCAGCCCCCTGGGATCAAGGGATCCTCCTGCCTCAATCTCCTGAATAGCTAGGACTAGGACTACAGGCACATGCCACCACACCTGGCTAATTTTATTTTTTATAGAAACAGGATCTTACTGTGTTGCCCAGGCTGGTCTCCAGCTCCTGGCCGCGATCCTCCTGCCTTGGCCTCCCAAAGTGCTAGGATTACAGGCATCAGCCACTGTGCCCATCCTCTATGTCTCTTTATGTGATTGTCAAGAGTGTCTCATGTCCTCATTATATCTTCCTTCCCTTTCCCATAAACTGAGCCTGAATTTAATCCTAGCACTGTCCAGTATTGGTATGTGCTTGTTTGGGTTGAGGGTACCACAGATTTCTATATGTAAGGAAGACTGAACTGTGCATTTAGAGGCTGGTCTTTTACATCTATACATAATAGATTAGTGGGACCCCATCTCTACAAAAATAAAAAAATTAGCTCGGCGTAGTGTCACACATCTGTAGTCCCAGATACTCAAGAGGCTGAGGCAAGAGGGTCTCTTGGACCCAGGAGGTCGAGACTGCAGTGAACTGTGATTGCACCACTACACTCCAGCCTAGCGATAGAGTGAGACCCTGTCTCAATAAACAAAGAAACAAACATAGTAGAGAATAGTTAATGATAAGAGTGTAGGTTTTGAAGCCAAGGATAATGGTGATCATTTTGATGCTAACCTCTACAGCTGTAAGACTCTGGCCTTCTCTATGCCTGATGGTTTCTGGTTGCACACAACCTCTTGCCATTCCCAAAGTTAGTATGCTGCACTCCTGGCATTTTAGGGTCTGGTATTCCCAGCACTCCAAAGCTTTTTGTTATTGTGAATACTCTCCCTTTCTTCAAAGAGTGGATCCTCCCAAATAACTTCATGCATCCTGGATAACAGTTTTCAAAGAACCAGAAGAAAAATTGTGAATGGGATTCTTATAGTCTTCCAAGATAAATACAGCAATATTTTATGTTGTTTAGAAAATAATAAATCAAAAAATAAAAACAATATTTCTGTCCATACCATCTTTTTATTTAGCACTCCAGAAGAGAAAAGTAATTACAAACTAAACATCGTTTATTGGAAAGGAATTGAGGCCAAGTCAACCAGTTCTTGGGAGGAAAAACTATTGCTTTGGAACTTTCCTGTGGCTCTTGAGTGAATAGTTAGTTGAGCATATCTTCCAATTAAGACATGTGTTTTAGCCACTATTGAGTTCTCTAAAAGAAACTTTCAAGGGTTACATATATCTTGAAAGTTTTTTAAAGAGGATCCATTTAATTTAGAGGGTTTAGAAGTACAAAGTGCTAGAATCTTTCTTATGAAAATTAAAGGGAACAAAATATAAAACATTCCACCTCCTTGGGCATTTTCATAGTAAACCAAAATCAGCAGGGGTTTGCTAGGCAATCAGGCTTATAAACAAAATCTCTAGTTAGTCTGTCATTGCACAAATATGCTTTTTAAAAGAACATTATAGATCTCTCATGTTTATAAAACTGAAGTGAGTTTTTCATATGCCATTGTTCCATTTCAGGGAAACAAGTGGCTTACCTTTAAAGCTTGGACATTCCTATAATATCTAATATATTACTCAGAATGAACTTTTCCATATGCTTTTATTGAATGCCCAAATTATTTTCTTTATTGTTCATCTAGGGACAGCAACAGGAGTTAGAAAAGATGCGTCCACATCTCCTCTGCCAACAGGAAGCCTAAAGGATCTTGTCACCACAGCCTCACCATCATTACAGCACACCACCTCCCGGTAAGCTTCAGAGATTCTTTTAGTTTTTAATATTCTCCCTATGAAAACATTTTTTGAAGTTTCTTTAATAAGGAATGGAAATATCTTGATAATTCTTAGTGACTGTTTCTCAACAGAGGTCCTTCTTTTGAAGCATCCAGCCTAGGCCAGTTTGAACTACATGGAGTCCTTTTCTTTATACATGTGCTTTCTTAGTCTATCATGGTAATGGGTAAGGGTTTCCGTACAAACCTAAAGCTAATCCTGTCCTTCATCAGAAAGTCTCTTTAGCAGCAGGTCTTTCCCAATTGTCACAGAATAGTTGTACATTTAGACTGTAATTTTAGCTAGCTGAAATCATTGATATTGAACATTATAGCAGCTTTTGTACTAAACGAATACCAATATTTGCTTATATCACAGACATTTGAGGGGTTAAGCATTTGATCAGCCTTTTCTGGATCCAGGGAAATAAATATATTATTTAAAATTTTTCATATCTCTTAAACCAACTCGCACAGTATGTAATTAAGGCTGATATATAAACATCAACACCAAAAGGGCATGGCTTATGTTTCCTTGGGAATATGATTGGTTTTGAGCACTCAGATTCATAGCATCATTTCCAATGAATTGAATATAAATGTTAAGAATTAATTTGTAGTTAATTTAAAGTCCTTTGCCTTTGCAAAGTAGAAATCCCCAAATTATAGGTCTCAAGTCTGATGATTTTAAAGTTGTACTCTGAAACTTATTCTTTTGGTTTGAGGTAACTTCAAAAGTAAGAGAAACATTATTTCTTCCTCCTCTAAAAAATTGTATGCTAGTCCAATGCCTATAGATATGCTGTTCCAAAGAAGCCAAACCTAGGAAACAGTATGTTCATCCTATTTTGACTCTTTTTGTCGTTCTTTAATTCTGGAGTGGAAAGGTAAAAATCTTAAAGAACTTTTGAGAAATTACTCCAACACAAAAGATAATATTAATAACAATGGCTGCCATCTATTAAGTATCTGCCACATCCACAACACTTTGCCAAGCCTTGTCTTATCTAATCTTCACAACCTTATGAGGTGGTACTATTATCCCCATTTTAAAAATTAGGGAAGTAAGGCTCAGAGACATTGAAGAACTCTCTAAGGTCACATAGCTGACAACAGACAAAGCCAGCATTTCAGACTCCAAACCTCATAATCTTAAATATTCTAATAGTTGACAATGACAACCTCTCTATTTTGGAGGCCACCCACAATCTAAAAGAGAATATAATTAGTCTGCCACAACCTTTCACTGTTGCTGCTTTCTTTTATTTTTAATGCTACTATTGTTGGCATTCTGCCTAAGACCTACAATAAGTTGTGATTCTGAAATGTTGATGGGGCTTCCTTTTTGGATCACTTAACCTTGTGTCTAAAAGCTTATGCTCAGAGGGTTTCCATCCCAGCTCACCTTGAGGGATTCAGGAGGAGTTAGAGGTAAAGAAGGGAGATAATCTGGATTTTCAATCTTAGTGAATTTTCCTATTGTTAAAAATTAAAATGAGATCTTTAACACCACTTTAACATGTTTTTGATGGTTGCATTTCAGTTTAGAGGGAAGCAAAAAAAAAAAAAATAGTGGAATAAAATGTTTTCCCAGTAAAGGTTTTATAAAACATCTTCAGCACATATTTTTTGAATGGACCATATCAACACTGTAGAGTTTTACAAGCCCAGTTTAAAACTGCTGTGAAGAGTCATATTTGCAGTCCTTTAAAAAATGATTATCTATTTGTTCTTAATATTGCAGATCAGCTAAATATAGATTCTCAGAAGCTTCCTAAGTAATGAGCATTTGGCTTAATAAAACAATGGGGAGCATGCTAGATTTTTTCCTTAGAAATGCATGATGGCATCATATAGGTCTCTTATACGAAGTGCAGAGTTAAAAAAAAAAAATCAGTACTATAAAAATCATTTACTAGGAAGGTTATAGTGGTGGCTTTCCAGATTTCAGAATCAGGATTATTTGAGTTGTTTTTATTTCAAAGTGTAGAAAAGGTATTTTTTTAAATAGACTACGTACCAGTTACATGCAAACTCTTAATGTAAGAAAAAAGGTTTCTTTACCTCAACAAACCTTTGAAAGTACCGAAGAGAATAAGAGTAAAATCTCTTCTCCTGTCCACCTTAAATTTAATTTTCAAGACCTGCAAATGAGGATGAGCGTGAGACAGATACCAGTGGGAGACAGGCTTTCCTTTGTTCTCTGAAAATACCTGGAAGAGTTCCATTTCATTCTATGTGCAGGTGAAAACAGGTGTAGCAAAGTCAGCTTTCCCATTCACAGTGTTGGTTGTTAATTGTTTTCACTGCTGGCTTGTCAATATAATGTGAAATTTTCATTCCCCATTCAAGATAGAAAAAGTTGTGGCTGAAAATGTTAACATTTGCATTTTTATTTGTTGATTTATTTAAAGGACAGCCTCTCCTACAGCAATCCATCACTTGGTGACACCCCAAATATGAATAATGTATTGTAGACTTGCAGTTACAATGTGTAATAAGTGCTAGAGACAGTAAAGGAATGTTAACTATGTTGCAAATGTAATATTTATTGACTCATAAAGTTTATTGCTTTCAAGGTTCAATAATACTGACCATAAGACATTTATATCACTTATCCTGATTTTAGCTGGACACTTTGTATGTAGAAATATTCATCTATCTCATGCTAATAAAATAAATATATAATTTACAGCATAAGCAAAGAGGACATTATAGTTTTCTGTGCTGAAAGCTGCAGTGTTTTTTCTCTCCATATCACTTCTGTTTTTCCACACTGATCACACACCCCTAAGCTGCCTGAAAGAATAAGCAAGGTGGTCATCTTGGTACAAGAGGGTGGTGAAGCTGAATTAAATGTACCATTCATTTCTGCTTGGATAGAACAAGCAATGAATGCCCCATGGACCACTCCATCTGGAAAGAGGAGTGGAGGGGCTTTCTCTCTGTCATTCTGAACACCTCAGGATAGGTGAGCCTTTTCTCTAAGAGAAAATTAAGTAAATACCTTCCCTGACATAAGAGTGAGTCAGAGTTTACCAAGTCTACTTGATCTTCCAGTCTCCAGTGAGAAGCCAGAGCTGGGCAAATTACTATTTGCTTCTCAAATGAATGTGTTATAAGCACAGATATAACTAATAAGTAACCGTTTTGTGCCTTCCAGAATGAGGTGTGTCCATTGCCAACAATAAAAATCATTCAGGAAATAACTAACACCCAAAGCAAAAGAAGTAATGATAATTAGCAACCATCAGCTGTAATTGCCATCTACATTAAGATGCAGAATTATGTACTTCTTCGTTATAAATAGCATTTCTAATTGTACTTGATGTATGCCAATTTAATCAAAAAGTGTACTTGCAACAGGCAGATATTTGCATTAATGTAGCTTTGGATCTTTAAGTCTTTTATTTCAAATTCGACTGGAAAAGAAGGCCTCTTACGCCGGTATATCTTTTATATGTTGGTGTCTTTTTCTATTCAGGCATGTAGATCTGATACATTTTATATTAAAATGAAGATAGTATCTTCTGGGATTGCTCAATGCAACAGAAATCTTGTCACCTTTAAAAATGTTGGTTGAGTTTCTATTTTTCAGTCATATGGTAACACAATGATGATTGTGGGACCCTGATAAACAGAGGCACACCAGGTGTACAGCGGCAGGATTAAATTTTCAGTCCCTGAAGTAAAACATTACAAAGGTCACTTCTCTGTGTTTTTCTATGACTCCTACAAACAGTTACAGCTGGTACTTTCCCTGTGCCTGTGTGTTTGTGTGTGTGCGTGTGTGTGTGTGTGTGTGTGTGTGTGTGTGTAAGATGTAAAGAAAGGGAGATTTCACCAAATCATGCTCAACTAGTGAATTTTCAGAACTGGAACTGGAATTAGCCTGTTTCTAGGATGTACTGTTCACCTATTTAGCTTTTGCTTTTGCTTTTTTTTTTTTTTTTTTTGGAGTTTCTAAGGACAATACAAAAATGTTAAATGTTTTTGTTTTATTGCTTTTTGAGTTACTGGTGGGGAGAGGTGTTGATTTTGTGAAGCTTCTTTTTTCTTGACAGGATTTGGAAAATACTTGAGTACATGCTTTGAGGGACTTGATAAATTATTTGGGTGCTTAAAAAATATGTTATTTTTATTAATGACACATCATAATTACACATATTTTGAGGTATATTGTGATGTTTCAATACATGTATATATTGTGTAATGATCCAATCAAAAAATCTAGCACATCCATCACCTCATACATTTATCATTTTTTTATGATGAGAATGTTCAAAATCTTCTAGTTATTTTGAAATATACTCAGTTGGTGCAAAAGTAATTGCAGTTTTTTTCTATTAAAAGTAATGGCAAAAACTGCAATTACTCTTGTACCAACCTAATACAATGCAATATTGTTAACCATAGTCACCCTACTGCACGATAGAACATCAGAACTTATTCCTCCCAACTGTAACTTTGTACCCAGTGACCCATCTCTCCCTATGTCCCACCTCCCATTCTTCCTAGCCTTTAGTAATCACTATCACTGTCTACTTCTATAAGATCAGCTTTTTAAGATCCCATATACAACTGAGGTTGCTTGTTGGAAAGCAGTCGAGGCCAAGTCAACCAGTTCAGTATTTGTTTTCTGTGCCTGGCTTATTTCACTTGACATAATATCCTTCAGGTTCATCTATGTTGCCACAAATGACAGGATTTCATTCCTTTTTATGGCTGAATAGTATTCATTGTGTATGTATACCACATTTTTATTATCCATTCATCCATTTATGGACACCTAGGTTGATTCCATGTCGTGGCTGTTATGAGTGCTTCAGTAAACATGGAGTGCAGATATCTCTTTGACATACTGGTTTCATTTCCTTCAAATATACCCAGCAGTGGGATTGTTGGATCATCTGGTAGTTCTTTTTGTAATTTTTTGAGGAACATCCATACTATTTTCATAACGGCTGTACTACTTTA